GGGGCAGTGCTGTGTTGGCTTTAATAGACCAGCTTTGGTTGACACCTGTCCTCCACTCAAGAAAACATCCTGTGTGGCTGCTTACCAGGAAGGAAACGGAAAGGAAGAATATGCACAACTGTATGTCACATCCAGTTTGGCCTTTGTGCTCATGGAGGATTTACTTTTGGCAGGGGAAAGCTACAATAAGATATCAAGTGATCCTGCCCCTAACAAGTGAAAGACCAGGTGAGAGACCACATGACAAAAGACTGCAAATGTCCAAAGATCATGTGACACTGCCATCAGTGCATGTGTTAATTCTATATGTTAAGCTAGAGAAAGGGAAGAATGGGTTTAATCAGGACAGTGCTGAAAAAACAATTCAAGGTATTTGCATCTCCCTGAAGCTGCAAAACTACGAAATCCGAGTTTGGGACATAGAGAAGAAATCATACAGTGGAAATGCAGCTTTAAGAAGAAGAAGAGTTTGGATTTGATATCCCGCCTTTCACTCCCTTTAAGGAGTCTCAAAGTGGCTAACATTCTCCTTTCCCTTCCTCCCCCACAACAAACACTCTGTGAGGTGAGTGGGGCTGAAAGATTTCAAAGAAGTGTGACTGGCCCAAGGTCACCCAGCAGCTGCAGGTGGAGGAGCGGGGAAGCGAACCCAGTTCACCAGATTATGAGACTACCGCTCTTAACCACTACACCACACTGGCTCTCAACTGTGGTAAATCATCTTCTGTAACTTAATTCCTACTGGAAATGCAAAGGTCAGGAGATTTCCTTCACCTTTTCAGAAGGTGTGAAAGATTGTGCTGTGCTTGAACTTTCTGGTGACTTTTTAAAAAAGGCGGTATAGATTATCAGATATGTGAGGAGGGGAAAGAGAGCAAAAGCATTTTTTGCGCTAATAAATTACTTTGAGCAAGATCAAATTTCCCAAAAACTCTTTCATACCTCTTGAATGAGTACATCATTCTAAGTGCCATCACACCTTTGACTACAAAAAAATATAAAAGTCCTCCAGATATTCTCAGAGGCTTTGAAAATTTGAGTCCCAAATGAAAATTGTTGTATAGTCACATTTTTAAAAAAGGTCCCAGTGATAAAAATGTCAAGGGAGTCAAATAAACCTTTCTTTGATTGACGACTAGTCTGCCAGGACAGATGCATATTTGAAGTTGTGAAGTCCATGGAGCTACACAAACCAGCAAGGCCAAAATCAATAAGAGGTGAAAATGAAGTGTTTGTGTATACCAAGAGTTGACAGCACTCCTGCATGTTATTTATTCATATGGCTTTGTGAAAGAAATCTGCCTGTAAGGGTGGGAGAGCAGATTGATGAGACTGATGGTTTGGACTTGGCGGGAAGCGGGGGGTGGGGGGGTACTGAAAACAAATCATATTATTAGCATTAGTTTTTGCCAGGGTTCTGGGGAATTCAAACCTCTCTCTTGCGAGTGACACCCATCTATAAATGTCTGGATATTCAAATTGTTATGGCCTGTCAAGGATGCTGTGCAAAAGAAGGAACTCCAGAACATTGGCCTGAAGGAAGCTCTTTTCAGAAATAACTAGTCGTATGCCTGCCAAAAAATTATCCTTCCTCTTTCTTTCACCCAACCATTCTTGCATGTGAAAATTAACTTTCAGGAGGTATTTGAAAACATTCCTGTTTATTCAGGGATTTGGTGACTGAAGAATACTGTTTCTGGCAACCTTGAGATCATTGGATGGAGGTATGTTTTTAATTGTAATTGTTTTATAAGATGTTTTAATGAGCATTTCTGAAGTGCCCTGAAAATGAGGCAAAAAATAAATAGATATAAAAGTTTCTCTCCACAGGGTAAGGAATCATTTGAGAACCTGAAGGAGAGGTATGACACAGTACTAAAAATACACATTTCTTGAAGAGGCATATTTTGTAGTTGTCATGATGCGATAAGCATCTCTATTTAAAATGTGCCTTGGAGTCTGTTTCGATTTAAAATATCTGTTTGGTTTCTCCTCCATTCATCCAGCTTTGAGACTCAACAACAGTTGGGATGGATCAGGGCAGGGCAACACAGCTCACCTGGCCTCCCAATATGGAAGTCACTGCCAGTATCCAAAAGGGGACAGGGGACAGGGAGGGCAGCACGGTGAGGGTGCAGCAGCAGAAGCTTTGGGTGAACTCCGCTGCTGCTGCCACACCATACTGACCTCGTCACTGCCTTGCCTTTCTCCAGCTCAATTACTGATTGTGATTTCCATATAGAGAAGCCAAGTTAGCAATGCTGCATCACCAGCCAGTCATCACCAGCCATCACGACAGCCAGTGTGGTGTAGTGGTTAAGAGCGGTAGTCTCGTAATCTGGGGAACCGGGTTCACGTCTCCGCTCCTCCACATGCAGCTGCTGGGTGACCTTGGGCCAGTCACACTTCTTTGAAGTCTCTCAGCCCCACTCACCTCACAGAGTGTTTGTTGTGGGGGAGGAAGGGAAAGGAGAATGTTAGCCGCTTTGAGACTCCTTAAAGGGAGTGAAAGGCGGGATATCAAATCCAAACTCTTCTTCTTCTTCTTCTTCTTCTTCTTCTTCTTCTTCTTCTTCTTCTTCTTCTTCTTCTGCCACATTGGACATTACTGTTGAGACTAAAAAACCCAGAAGGCAATGTGACTGTGAGAAAAGCACAGATATATCTAGATGTCCAAGAGACTATAAAAGGAGTAAGCATTAGTTGGCAACAGCAAAGGAAGAGCTGCAACAAATGGTATCAGCCAAAAGTCAAAAGAGGCAGATGGATTTTCTGATGCCTGGAGACAGGAAAGGAACTCTGAAAAAACAAATTTGACTTAAGGGTTTGCAGATTTCTGTAATATAAATGCTGTAATAGGAAACAACTATTTCTGCCTAAACTGCTTAATCCTTATCTAAATTTTAATTACATGCATTTGTCTGAATTCCCTTGGTAATGCATTTCCTGCTAGGTTTGATGGGGTTCAGCCCCATAATGTCTTTTTCAACATGAGAGCTCTGCAATAGGAGCTGTGGAGTTACATGCACATCTTAGGGCTAAAGAACAACAGCCTCTCGGATCTTAAGAGCACATTCTCCAAATACTACTATTCACATAAGGAGAGCCCTGCTGGATCAGTCCAAAGCAGTCCAACGTCTCGTCAAGTACCCTGTTCTTCAGCATAGTTCTCTAGATGCTACATGAGTGGAATAGTATTCTTCCAGTAGTGATCCCCACCACACTGCCTCTGAGCAGGGAGCTAATAATTATCCATCATGTCTAGTAGCCACTTATGGCCTAATCCTCCATGAATTTGTCTAATGTCCTCAACACTGTTCACATTGGTGGCCATCAACATATCTTGTCCATAGTTTATGTGCTATGTAAAGAAGATTGTCCTCTTGTCTTACATGAATTTCCCAGCATTAAGCATCATTAGATGGGCCTGGATTCTATCATTATGAGGTGTGCAACTGTTTACCCAGAGGCCCTAACATAACTTCCAGCTAGGTTTGCAGCCAGGTCACTATGTGACCAATACGTTTTGCTTCCTGGGGAAAAGAATGAGATTCCCCCCCACACACACCCCAATGATATGTACAGAAGTTGAATGATCTGGCTGTTGCATCTTACTCCAACAATGGCAGTGGTGTCCTCTGGTGCACCTGAGGATAGTAGGATATTTTAGGGTGTGTGTGGGAGGCCTGTAGCACATAGTTCTGATATTTCAGCAGAGAATTGTGAGGAGGCTCAGAAGGAACAGCTGGAATGCACCTCCAGGCTGCCACCGCTGCATTTGTTGCCTAAGGTACTTGCCTCACTCAGTCTAATAGTGGAGCCAACCCTGATGATAGCTAGAACAGTTAGGAAGAGGTCATATGTTTTAATGGCAGGCTTAAACGACTGGTAAATGCTGCAATCCTATAAACACTTACCTGGAAGTTTCCCTGAAACATGAGGGTCTTACTTTTGAGTAGACAGGTATGAGATTTTACTCTGCTGTGATGTCAGTAAGACCTGACAAGATTAAAGTAATTTAGAAACATCAATCATGGCCCTGAAAAAGTTGGCCAAGCTTTCAAGCCACATTTAATTTCTTACTAACCAAGGAAGTTAGTGGCAGCTTTCCTTGTAATTATTCTGCCCAGCCTTAAACTTCTATTTACCTTGGAAAATGACTTCGGTGTTGTACTATTAATTATTTTCAGAGAAGGCCTAATGCAATTGGTGGTCAGAACTGATGAGTGTGTTTTTAAAAGAGAGCTAATTGGGGATCTGGGGACCTTATTAAAATCTTTTCTTTTCCAGAAAAGTTGCTTGCCTTTTTAACTACTAAACTTCTTTCAAAGAGCCAGCTCCATGCCATCATTTCAGGAGACACGTTTAGTGGAGGAAACCTCAAAGAATAAAAAGAATTGACAACAACAAGTGCTTTCATAGGGAAACTGACAGATTCCAAGCGGGGAGGGGGGAGGCGGGGCAGGATTAATAGGACTGAAAACACCTACTCAAATGTCGAGGTGGGAATTTTTGCTCACATATTCCTTAGAGGCAAAATTCTTATCAAAGTGCCACTGTTCAAAAGCAATTCTCCAGAGGGGAAAACAGTTCAGAAGGTGGAACCTCTTCTTGAAGTGTGAAATCTAATAGGATAATGAGAGCATACATGCTTACCAAGTAATTTTTCAGCTTTGAAAAAAATAAAAAATAAAATCTGCAGTTCACAGAATCTAAAAATGTCCTGAGGAGAACTAAAGCCAGAGAAAGCATGGATGGCTAACTTGAGGCCTATGGGCCAGATCCAGCCTCTGATGAAATGACAAAATATAGTAGGTAACTTATATAATTTGCAGCCATGAGACATGGTTATATCCACTGCCACCGTATGGCATCAATCAATTAATTAATTTCCTATGGTGGCAGTGGATATTACCACATCTCATGGCAGCAAATTCTGTAATCAATCAATCAATCAATCAATCACTTCCCATAAAGCATCCTCAAACAATTTATCAATAAAAACATTTAACAGGCATGACCTAACTTTTCGTGTGCATGCACACTTCTTCAGATACCGATAACTTTGGTATCTGAAGCAGTGTACAAGGACACAAAAGCTTATACCAAGAACAAACTTAGTTGGTCTCTAAGGTGCTACTGGGCAATTTCTTAGTTTTTATTTATTTATTTCGACTGTGTCAGACCAACACGGCTACCTTCCTGAATCTTTGGTCCATGAACTTCAGCAGGTCTGCTCTGAGTAGGACTTATGGTGCATTCACACGTGGTAGATATTGCATTTGTTTTCCTGAATATTATGCTAGTGTTTCTGTACCAGTATCTCAACATCCCTTTCATACTGCAGTACCTGCTGTGTTATGGAACCATGGCTTTTTGACTGATATACCAGCATGCATTGCTATATTTCATTCACACCAGTAGGTGTGGTGTGACACAACAGTGACTGTCACTCCTCCCCTCCCCTTTCTGCACATGCATGCTTTCGTCTCCCCCTCCCCATGATTCAATCATGAAAATGCAGGAAGCAACTTCACGCAGGTACACCACCCCAAATTCATACTACTGCCATCCTTCAGACTTCTTTTTACATTGCAATTCTTTAGCTAACTATTGTTTTCTACCAACATTTACTTGGGTAAAGTGTGAATAAAAAATGCATTTAATTGAGAGAGAGAAATACACAGTGCATTATTTGCCAGGCAAGCATTCACCTGAACTTCCTGATTGAATTGTTTGAATTGTTCTTTTGATTGTTACGCTTTTTAACGGGCTTGCTTTATTGTGTATTTTAATTATGTGTTGATATTTTATGATTGATTTTTAATACTTGCAAACCATGTAAAAGCCATTCTGGCATGTAAATTTAATAATAATAATAACATGTGAAGGAGGAAAGAAAACTGAGTGGTGTGTGAACTGTGGAAGTAAGTTGTGACAGAGAGAGAGGGGGCGGCAGACACAAATGTGGTATAGAGACAGTCCAGGGAGGCAGCTGTAGGAATGGAATCTCTTGGTTTCAGATTTAGCAGTAGCCAAAAAGAAGCAGACCCAATCAGACTGAGAAGATGCAGTCACAGCTGCTGGAGTCTTTTCCCCCTTCGGGTCTACAGAAGCCGCAGTGACAGGAACATTCCTAGAGCATCTGCAGCCCAGAAGAAGGGAAAGAGCAGCAGCAGCAACACGGCATTCATTTTTTAAAAACCAAACAGATAAAGAGCAATGAGGCAGTGGACAACTTGGCCACAGCTAGCCAGGCTGAATTTAAATTTTGGGTCACTGTCAAGAGTTAAGATAGTGGAAAACTGGAATCTGAATCTCCAATGTGTCATTTTCTCATATCTAGTGTGCTTGAGCCATGGAATACTTTTTTTGACCTCTTTCCAAAATTCCACACAAACTCATATGTCCATTCATTTCATTTCTTTATTTGCCTGGCACTTTCCCACAAGGTTTGTGTCCAAAGCAGCTCACAGTATATCTAATGAACAGCAACAACAATTCAGGAAAAAACCCTAAGAATTACAAATCATCATTACAAAAAGAATTACAAAAAGTCAATGCACCATTTTTTTATCTATATATATAAAAAGTACAACAATGCACAACACTGTAAAAATAAATCCTACAATTGGTTAGCTTACAGAAGTAAAGTTGTTTGCCCCTCCCTTCTACAGTCCCCTGAGAAGCCTCTCTGGGAGGTACCGGTAAGTTGGGCTCTCAAAACATGCTGAATGGGACACAGAAGACAAAGGAGTGATAAACTTTTCTTTCGTCGATCTTCCTTAAGTAAACTTATACTAGGACCAAAACATGATTTGGAGCAATTCCTCATTCCTCAGGAAACCTCTGTGTCCCATACCAAATTGGCCACCAGAACCTCTAGAGTGGGTTTTCAAGGGCACAGATGGCTGTGGAGCCGGGTGTGGGGAGAACACAAGTTCCTTCCATGAACTTCCATTTAAGTGAGCTTTATCTCAGGATCTAAGGCAATGCTCACACCCCTAATTTAACATCTTGAAACCTAAAAAAGGAGATAGAACAAAGACTAATGCAGAAATGGCATCACTGTTCAATTGCCACTCTGGTCAAAATGCTCTGTTGTCAATCCCCAGCCTTCTGCTTCTTGCTCCTGGGAAATCCTGACTCATTTGTGCACTCAATCCTTCTTCTGCCAGAATCCATTTCATCAGATGCATGCAGTGCAATACTCACTTGACAGGTAGGTGTGTGTGTGTGTGTGTGTGTGTGTGTGCATGCGTGCACACACATACACACACACATGTGTACACACACACACACCAATACAAAGGTGGGTGGGATGTAAAGGTCAGAGCTAAATGGCAACAGAATTCAAGGAACAAAGCCTGTGACAGTTCAATTTGAGCATAAATGTATCCCCAGTGACTCTTTGCAGCAACCGTGGTTAGCTTTAAGTGATAGTTTGCAACACCGCTTTGAACCCTGATTTTGAAGCCAACTGTAGTTAGAATGTAAATAGATTTAATGCATTGCAAGGATTAATCTTTGCTACGGGCCATAACACAGTGGCAGATCAGCGACTTATATATATATATATATATATATATATTACATTTCTGATATATTTCAACACAAGAAAAAACAACAACACCCCGAATGTAATAGGAAATAGGAAAAAGAATATTACATATTACTTATTATATTACATTTTAAAAATACAGTCATTGGTGGACTTCCCTTCCTCTCCTTCTATGGTTCCTTTTATCTTCCACTTCCTCTCGCCTTTTCTTAGTTTCCCCAATCTTTCTCTGCTTCTCCTGTTAACGCTAGTTCTAACTTGCGCCGCTGAAAATATTACCATCCTGCTAGGCCACAGCATCTGCTTCCCACATAGAGTGCCCCAAATTCAATCCTCAGCATCTCTAGGTAGATCAGGGAGAGGCTCCTGTCTCACATCCTAGAGAGCCACTGCTAGTCACCATAGACAATACTGAGCTAGATGGATTAATGCTCTGGTTCAATATAAGGCAGCTTCCTATGACCCTATGGATGAAGTATACCTGTTGGATAGGGAAGCAAGACCTGGGTCATGGAAAATGTGCTCAACTCTTCTCCACTAAAACACTAAAAATGCAGCATGTCAAGGAAGCTAACTGTGCATCAGCATCAGGCACCTGCTGAGGGTTACATCCCATTTGAGGATGTACACACACCTAGAAGCAACTTGCCCAGCAGGGTGGAGCCAAAATGCCAGCTCCCTGGTATTGGGGTTGCTGCTGCTGACTGGGAGAGACAGGGGAAGGAGCCAGGTAGCAGGCAGGTCAGTGCAGTGTGGGTGCACCAGCTGAGCCAATCTGGTGCTCTTGCTGGTACCAACCTCCCCTTGGTAAGCAGCAAAGACCCTACTGCCAGAAAGCTGGCATTGCACTCCAGGCAAGTGTCTCCTGCCTGGAGCTTCTGGCCATTGTCCTCATCTTCCTCCTTGCTCTTGCTATCTCTTCACTTGCCGTCTATGAATGCACATAGTAATTAGAAAGCTCAACTCGGCATAAAGAGATGTACTTGAGGGCAAGGGAAGGGCCGTCAGCTTATGGGGAAGAAACAAGGCAGCTGCTCTGTTGCTAAATTGCTAGTATTGACAAAACAAGCTTATCAATAGCTGACAGCCCTTCCTGTAAGTAGGAACGGGCAGCAGAAGTAAGAAGCTACAGATCGATTAAAGGCTAATTCATGTGTTATTCAACAATTGCTGTGAATGAGTGGCAATGATCTATGGGCTGGGCTTCAGCCATGGTTCAGAAGGACAGTTTTATCCTGCTTGTCAATGCTTGGCTATGGCAGGGGTGGCTGACCTGTGAGTCTCCACGTGTCATTGGGATCCATCTTCCATCAGCCCCAGACAGAGTGACCAGCAGTCAAGGCCAACGGAAGCTAGAGCCTAAGAACCTCTGGAGGGTCACATGTTAGCCACCTTTGGGTCTACACAATATCAACCTACCCTTCTTATAATAGCTCACAGGAGGAAGGAATCACATGACCAATTCATTGCTATGGAAAGTGCACCAGTACCCTCTGCCCCAACCTCTGGATATGGCAAGGAGAGAGGGACAAAACTGTCCTTTTTGGTTTCTTCTCAGTTTCTCATTTTTGGAATTTGAAATTAAGTTCTCATTTCTGCATCAGTTTGCAATTTTTCAAAAAAGAAAATTGTTGGCACTTTAGCATACATTTGTCCTGATAAACACATTTTTTCAAGAACTTTTTTCACTAATATATGTATTCTCAATGTACACTTTCTCCTAATATATGCAGTTTGGGGCATTTCTTCAGGGGGGTGGGGTGGATAACTACATCACAAAATTCAGAGAACTGCACATTTTGAAGTAGCTATGGTTCAGTCTGCATATAGTTTCCAGAAATGCAAATGAGGTAGATTTGCATTGAAATCTGATTTGACTTAATTTCTCCCCCAACCGTAATTGCAAGAGGCAGCACAACTTCCCATGCGCTAAACTTCCCCATGCCCAATTAATTGGTTGGGCCTCAGAACACAGGTCACCATTCTGTAAAATGGGGCAGGGGTGGGGCATGGTGATGCTGCAATTCAAAGGGGGCAACATTCATTTTGAACAAAACCCAGTGAAAAGGCAGCAAGAGGGGGGTGGCATTTGTTGCTAAAAGTGCAACGAAACTAGGTTAGCATGACAGTGCTGGGCAGTGGAGGTAAACGTTGTGGAAAACTCTAAGATGGGGGCAGCAGATAGGAAGATACGCAGATTTGTGACCAGGCAGATGACAGCTGTTCAGAGCAATGATCCCTTTTTATTGTAACCTGATATGGGTGTGAACAGATGGCAGCTGCTTGCATTCTGAGCTCCACATTTTTGTGCTAAAATGCAGTATTCTTTTTTGTTGTTGCTGTGGCATAGAGAGAACAAGGCACAATCCTTTCAGTCATTGGTGGCTGGTCCTCATTGGGACTGGTGGAGCAGAAGGCAGAGAGTCCATCTGTTGGTGGAGCCACAGCCAATGACAGCCAGAGCTCAATAATTTTAGCTTTGCCCCCATCCTCCTCTTTACAAGAGGCAACACTGGGACTAAGGAGGAGGAAACTGGCAGCCAGAGTGTGACCTGCTGGGCTGGGTGCAAGTAAAGAAGGCTGGCAGGTCAGGGCTATGGGAGAGCCGGCCAAGATTTGTGGGACAATGCCACATTCACCCTAGTAGACCAGTCTTTACTGCACTGCACTTCCAGCTGCCATGGCTACCTCACCTTGCAGTCTAGGACAAAAGGCAGTGCGGGGAAAATATTCCCAAAACAAGCAGCTTCCTCACTCCATTGGTGGGTGTGCTGGGAGGTTTTCTGTATATAATTTTATATACAGATCGGGTGGTTTGTTTGCTTTTTTTTTCCAAGTGACAAGTGACAAATCCGTTTATTGTGAGGACCATGCCTGTACACAAACATTAACACAACGATAGTTAAAAAAATATTAAAATTCATTACATACTACGCCAACAAAACCTTCATCCCACAAAATAGAAAGAAAGGGAAAACGAGCAACGAGTTAAACAGACGATGAAGGGGTCTTTACATTGTCATCCATAAGTCTTTCCCTGGCTTTCATGGCCTTTATCACAAAAACCGCTACCACATGGGTAATACGTGGGTTTGCATCAACTAACAAAAATTTTACTCTATCTTCAGGATTGGTTATAGAGTTGGGTATAATTTGCAGCAATGCGTCTCTAAAGCTCGAGTAGATGGGGCAATAGAGGAGGTAATGTGTAAGATCCTCTTTAATTTTCATAAGGCAAGGGCATAAACGATGTTCTACTGGGGTTTTTGTGAATCTACCGGTCAGATATGCAGTTGGCAGTGTTTGAAACCGTGCCATAGTGAAAGCTCTCCGAAGGGTGGGGTCAGTGATCTCCACCAAGTAGTTGGCACAGATTTTGACTGCTTTTACTCGGGGAAACCAGTAGGAAAACCCAGAGTTTTTATCTTTGTGGAGTCCAAAAGGCGTCTTTTCAAAGATCCATTCCCGAACTTTATCAGGGCTCCACAATTTAAGGGTATTAAACTCAGGTAGATTGTATCTGGATAGGATATCTAGTAGGTTTTTATGCCAAGTAGTATTATTTTGTAATAATACAAAGGCTTGTTTAGCCAATAAGGTGTTCGGGGCATCTGTGAGGTTGGTGAACCCACGCAGGAATCTTAAGTGGGCCCTGGCAGACACAGAAGGTAATCCTACTTCCACTCTTAGGAGAGCTGCCGGAGTACTCTGAGGGAGGCCTAGAATTCTTCTGAGGTAAAAATTTTGGAAGATTTCAAGCCGTTCTAACAGCTTCTGATTCCATCCCCAGAGTTCTACTCCATATAGCATCTGGGGAATCACTTTTCCAACAAAAGCTTTTAATGCCGGGATCACCAGTTGCCCTCCCCTCGAATAAAAAAGCTGAGCAGGGCACCGATTGTCCTACGTGTTAGAAGGGCTACAGTCTTGAAGTGGGCAAGCCAGCTAGATGTAGCTTGGAAAGTGATACCAAGATATTTAAAAAAAGACACTGTTCAATTTTGTGTTCATCTAAAGACCATCTAAATGTGTGGCGAGCTCTAGTAAATACCACAATTTTTGTTTTGTCATAATTTATCTTTAGAGAGTTTTGGGAACAATAAGCTGCGAGCCCCTCCAGCATGCTATGTAGGCCCCTCGAGTAAGTGCCATGACAGCCATGTCATCAGCATATAGTAATATATTCAGGTGTTTGCCTTCCAGGGCAGGAGCTGATGACTTATACTTTGCCATATGTTGGACAATGTCATTTATATAGAAATTAAAGAGGAACGGCGCTAACAAACAGCCCTGTTTAACCCCTTTCCCCAGTGGCAGTGGATCAGTATAGTTGCCTGGCTTTTTTTTTTCTTTCCCGTGCTCATGATTGTGAATTTGTATTGTATAGGATTTAATGTTTAAGCCACCATGAGGACACATGACTCACTGTGCAGTAGAAACATGCCTACATGTTATTTTCTTTGGAAATAAAATAAAATAAACAGGAGCCATAAAGCCAAGGAACTGCTCCCCATTGATCCAGGCTGTGACCTAGAGGGAGGGAAGTGCTATTGAACCCAAGGGGTAAACATGAAGAGTATTGGGCTGAAAGTCCAGCTGCCCACTCCAATCTGCTGTGCTTTGCAATGGTTGTAAGGATATCTCCTCCTTCAACCTGCTTTTGTGTGGGGAAGGAGTTCCAGCTGCATCACTCCGTCCTCCGAACGCAATTGGAACCAAAGGACTTTAAAATATAGAA